TGTAAAAAAAAAAAAAAAAAAAAAAAAAAAATCTCTGTAGAAGCCTGGTACAATGGCGCACCCCCGTAATCCCAGCTCCTCCGGAGGCTCGATAGAGGATGGCAATTTAGCAAGAGCCTGTCTCAAAATAAAATAGAAGGAATATCCCACAGGCAGTGTCAGGGGCAAACCTGAGCAGACCCCAACCCTGTCCCTGTGGACAAGGCAAGAGACAAAAATCTCCGTAGGGTGGAAAAATCACTGTCACCTGGAAAAACAGAATGCGCATCTTTGTTTATTTTTTTCTCTCCTCTTGATCTTCTGAATCGAGCCAGTCTGAGATAAAACAAACTCCAGGTGATCTCATTACCACCTCCCCTTCCTTTTTCTGCAGCCCACACCTACCTTCCCCCAGGAATCACGAGGGCTTCTCCCACCTCTCCCATGGACTTTCTCTTTAGATTTTTTAACTTGGCCCATTACCCTGATTCTTTGAGGAGAGAAGGCTAGAAAGCCATGCATATTCACCCAGTAAGTGTGACACTTGAGGAAGAGAAATCCAAGGGGCAGTGTTGTCGGACATCACAGCCTTCTGATTGCCTTTGCATCTTTGTGTCCCCTCGCGCTTGCTCGCTGAGGAGGCCTCCCACCCTGAGCTGGTGCCCCCCAGCCCCAGGTACACAGCTCACTGCCGCCACAACCTCCTTGGCTCCCCTTATGAGCATGACTTGGTCATTTATTACAAACGCCTTTTCAAATATTTGACTTGGCTTTGTTGGAGTCCCTTCAGGGAGGGCCCGTGAATGTCCTGGAATTACATAGCAAGTGTTGAGTATATGCATTTTCCTGGGGAGGAGGTGGCAACTTTCACCAGACTAGCCAAAATGCCCATGACCTTCCAGCATCTACGAATGCAACGATAGCTCCTGGCCTAGAGAGAGGCCCAGGCCTAACCGCACCGTGCCACCTCTACTGACCATTTGCAAAGCTTTGGTAGAATGGGTCTGCGCCTCTGTTGGGCCCCCACTCACCCGGCTTCTCAGGATCCCTCCCTCCCTGTACCCAGCCCTTCACACCTCCTAGTGACACCTCCTGTCACCTCATTTTTCTGGGCTCAGGCATCTGCACCTTTTTCTGGTCTTCCCTGACCACACCTTGGGCTCCTGTCTTTCCCAGCTCTGGTGGAATCCTGTCAAAGTGACAGTTCCATCTCTCCCATGGGCTGTCCTCCCCGACAGGCGTGACTGTCTCTAATTCATTAACGTTTCCACACAGCCCAGCTCAGCACCTGGTATATTACAGCGGGCACAAACTTCGCAAGAGGGAACATGCATGATACTGTACATATACAATGTTCCTGAGTGATTTTTTTACCCCTCTGAATTTAAAATGCAATTGTATTCTCTTTTTTGTGATGTAGAAGGGGTTTGCCAAAAAGCTTGTTCATCGATTATCTTCCAAGTTATCTTTTTGGCTTTAAGATGATGCATCCAATTGCTGGCTTTGGATGTTAACTCTGTCCTTCTGCCTGCTCTTGTTAAGCGGGAGGCCCCGTTGTGACCACCGAGTACGCCTGCCTGGGCTGCCCGCACCCCATTTCAACGGAGAGCCCCGAGCTGACGCCCATTCTGACGCACGGCATCCAACACTTCAACAACAACACCAAGCACGCCTACCTCTTTACTCTGGGAGAAGTGAGAAGAGCCCAAAGACAGGTTTCTTTTTTTTGCAATTTTTCATGTCATGCAGATTTGTTACAGCTTTATATTTAACATGGAAAACTAAATAACAAAGAGTGACTCACTTTGGGCAATAACAATCTCTCAGTTTAGTAAAGCTTGTGACTCGCCTGGATTCAAGATGCACGTTTTATTCAGTGATGTCCGTTTATAGCTATCAGAGTGGGGCCAGTCCATGGTGAAGCAGGAAAAACCTCAATAGCTGGTGTTCCAAGAACCATAAAGACCAAAGTTTTCTTCTTCCTCTTCTTCTTCTTCCTTTTCCTCTCCTCCTCCTCCTCTTCTTCTTCTTCCTCCTCCTCCTCCTCCTCTCCCCCTTCTCCTCCTCCTCCTTCTTCCTCTTCCTCTCCTCCTTCTTCTATTATTATTATTATTATTTTACAACATTCAACAAAGCATTTCCTTTCTGCAGCCTGACAGAGGAAATATTGCCAGTGATTAGTTAAGGCCCTATAGTAACTATGTTGTTTTTCGTATCACTGTGAATAATGCTTATGTTGCAGGTGGTGAGCGGATGGAACTATGAAATTGCCTACTCAATTGTACAAACTAATTGCTCCAAGGAGAAATTTCTACTCTTAAGTCCGGAGTGCAAGTTCCTTCTGGATGGTGTAAGCAGGCACAAGTTTAATCATGAAATTCTCAGCATTGTGTTTATGGTGTTTACAGGCATATCAGGCTGGGTGGGAACAATGCCACTAAAATTTAGATGACCTTCAACCAGTCATACACACATTCACTTGGGATCCCTGAAGCTCACATTACTGCTCGCTCTTACTGGGTCAAAGACTCTACACATGCAGCAGCATTTAGAGAACGGAGCAGGGACTAGAAATGGCCCGAGAAAAGTGACACAGCTCTCAGGTTTGCCTTCTTTTTTGTTTTGTTTTTTTTTTTGGTAG